GAAAAGTGCTCTAAAAATTAAAGACTAAATATACACTAATAAACATCATCCAACACAGATTCAGCCAAAAACTCTTTACTAGCAAAAAATTATTAAAATTTTTATTCCCCTTCCATTGTTTTTTTTTTTTTTTTTTCTTTTAAAGACAGAAGGAAATGCTATTCAAACTATTCATTATCCATCAGAACTTGGTAAAACTTACTAGGACCATGCTGATACCTACCACATAACTTGTTATTTTATAATATTCCTCTTTGCCATGACTATCAAAATTAAGGTAAAATCAGAATATGTGATTTTCCAAACAATTTCAATGCTTCTCTTTTACCTCAAAATGGTTACCCTTCTAAGAATCAGAACTGGATCAGCTCTAATGCCAACAAATCCACTCTGTGTCAAGAATCAGGAGGAATAAATAGATAATGATTAACTATTTTATACCTATATAAAGAGTATAAATTGGCCACAGAAAGTGACTGGGTCACCCACTGAGTAAATATGAGTATAATCTGTTTCTTTCAACGTACACTCTTATGCTAAATACAAGAAACATGACTTTAGAAGACATAATGAAAAATTCCACCGGGTTTCTTCTTAAGCAAAGTTTACAGGCTGAGCAAAGTATACACAGGAATAAATCAAGCTTCATTATCAAGCAGGAAGAGGGAAAATATTCTAGAGAAAAGAAATATACATAATTGTAACTAAGAGACTAATATATGTTCACAGCTGGCTATAAGAACTTCATAATCATTTGCAACATAAGGTTGAAATTCAAAACTGTTGCAAAAGATATTGAACTTATATTCTTTTACTAGTCTATATGATTCCATAATACATTTTTCAAAATGATTAATTAATTATAGCATTAGTAGAAAGAGAAAAAACACAATACATCTTTGACAAAAAACATTCTTAGACACAGCGGACTGAAGATGAATGCCAGAGGACTTGGATCTCAGCTAAAGGATAGTATTCCAGTTACTGAACTTTCAGCAAGTGGGCCTTTTGAACGACATGATCTTCTTCGAAAAGGTTTTCCATGTGTGAAAAATGAACTGTTACCAAGTCATGCTCTTGAATTATCAGAAAAAAATTTCCAGCTCAACCAAGATAAAATGAATTTTTCCACACTGAGAAACATCCAAGGTCTGTTTGCTCCTCTTAAATTACAAACGGAATTCAAAGCAGTACAGCAGGTTCAGCGTCTTCCATTTCTTTCTAGCTCTAACCTTTCAATGGATATTTTGAGGGGTAATGATGAGACTATCGGATTTGAAGATATTCTCAATGATCCATCCCAAAGCGAGCTCATGGGGGAACCACACTTGATGGTGGAATATAAGCTTGGTTTACTGTGATATATGTGTGTGCTGTTCATGAACAAGAGAGGGCATCGTATTGTAGTTGTCTTTTGCTATAATTTGATGTATATGACATTAAAAGTGGTGGCATCTGAGATTCTTTGCCTAATAGTATCAGTGATGATTTGAAATTATTTGAATCTTTGGTTTATGGCTTTGTGGAAATTGAAAACACTAATGGGAGATGATTTAAAGCTTCTAATTTGTGTAAAACAGTGGGCTTTCCTATCTTTCAAAGTGTTTCTAGTGAGTATTAGAATTGTCCACAGGTTCAAGTTCAACCTACCATGTAGGTTTTGCATCAGCTTAATTTCAAATGAATATTACCAGCATTTGAGCCTATACACTTCATGGTAGCATCATTCAAAATAAACATGTATAAGGAACATCTCAGTTCCTGAATGTTTCTGTTTGTAAGCCATTTGATTTGCGAACAAAGGTGTTCAGTAAATTTTGCTTCTGTTCACAAACTGAATCAGGTATCCCCAAAATCATTAAACAAATTAAGTTTATAAACTGAGGTGTAATTGATTTTAGTGGCAGCATTTAAATTGAGTATAGTAAATGTTTGTTGTGTATTGGTATAGCTGATTGGAGTAGTAGTTGCTGTTAACGATGCTATTATATACAACTATAGCTCTACTTTGGTTCTTTGATGTTGAAAAGTTTTGATTTTGGTCTTTAAAGTGAAAAAAAAATCAGCAGATACAGATTTAATGGTTGTACTTCATAGACTTCATATGTACTTAATTTAATCCCAGATAATACTGTTAAACTCAGTTTTCCTTATTCTTTGTGTGTCACAAGATAAATATTTTTAAAAATTACCAAATATTCACATGCATACTATGTATCTATAAACAAATTCCATAATTATTTAAATGAATGCTTACCATGATTACCTTGTATTCTTTAGGAAACTGATACATAAAAATTTAAGATTTTTTAGAACATTAATGAATAGGTCATCTTTTCACTTTTTCTAGAGTATATTTTGATTTTAATTTTTGCAGCAGGTTTTTATTAAGTAAGCTATTGATTGGCAACATTTGACAACGGTCAGAGACATTTTGAGTGTCACAGCTTTAGAGGTGGGCTGCTGCTGTCATCTAGTGGGTAGAAGCAAGGAATACAGCCGAATATCCAACTGTGTACAGACATTGATGTATTATCACGTAACAATAAAATGAAAACACAAAAAAAAAAAAAAAAAAAAACATTCTTAATGAGTCCCCTTCTTTAAATCCACTGATTTCACAAAAATGCCTTTACATATTTTTTTTAAACACCTACCTCTTGTAGAACTGGGATAACAGGTGGCTTTCTCTGCTGCAGGAAGTACAGCACCATAAGAATATATGCATACGAAGATAAACTTCCCCTGGAAGCATCTCCAATATCACAACGCTTAAAAATGAATAAAATTAATTAATGAAATGGTTGAAAATAAAACATTAGAGTACCGACTGTTTTAAGTCCATTTTGTTCATGCACTGAAATGACAACATTTAAAAGGCCAATGAACTTTAATAGAGGGTTAGGGAAACAGTCATTCTCATAAATCACAAGAGAATATAATTTATTACAAAGTCCTATGAAGAATATTCTAGTAATATCAAAATTACAGAGCATAATTCATTTCACCTACCAATTATGTTCTAAGAGTTGTTTTTTGTTTTTGTTTTTGTTTTTTTGTGGAACTGTGGATAGAACTCAGGCTCTTGTGCCAAGCACTTATTCTACTGAGCTATCTCCCCAGCCAAAAAATGTCTGGAAAGACTAAGTTTTGACTGCACTATGGTTGTAGTAGTAAAACAAAAGAAATAATTTAGGTTCTTCAGTAAAGCACAAATTTAAAAAAAAAGCAGGGAAATGTCCATTCAAAAGAATGGCATACATCCACCATTTAAAAAAAAAAAAAAAAGACCACATACTTAGTACAGTGTAGCACATGTTTATAATCCCAACACTCAGATGGCTGAGGCAGGAGGAGTGTCATGAGTCCCAGGCCAGCCTGGACTACAAAGTGAGTTCAAGGCCAACCTGAACTGCATACTGAAAATCTCAGAAAAAACTAAATAAATAAATAAATAAGCTGGTGATACAGCTCAGTGGCACAGTGTCTGCCCAGCAAACACAAGGTCTGTAGTTAGATTCCTGGTACCAAAAAAATAAATAAAATATGCTTTCCTATTCAAAAATATGAGCTTTACAAAATAACCTGACCAAGTAACTTCCCTACTAAAACTCTTTCCCACAGACACATTCATGAAAATCTACTTCCCTAAAGTGGGCATTACATCAAGCTAGCAACAGAGATCCCGCATATAATTTAACATTCAACAAAAGAACGAAACAGCGATGTTATATATAACAAATGTTTTAATAGAAGTATACAGTTTTATTTGTACTGTTTTGTTTTTTCTTGAACAGAAACAGTTTATCTTTAAGCCCAAAGATCAGATTTTCTAACCCAGGAGGTTTTTAATTAGGATATATGTCAACTACCAACCACGCCTAGGTTTGAAAATCACTGTCCTGAGAAATTGTACTAAGACTCTCAGCTTACTGAGAAACTGCACAGTGTACATAGAAGTAGAACACACAGGAAAATAGCTAACATCTTATCTTTATAGACACAAATTCAACCCATCTCACACAGGAAAATAGCTAACATCTTATCTTCATAGACACAAATTCAACCCATCTAATAATCTGTTTTCAAAAGCTCAGGTTTTGCCGGGGAGATACACAAGGTTCTGAGTTCAATCCCCAGGAAGTATAAAAGCTCAGGTACTACTGGGAAGATAAACACGATCACTTAAGCCCAGGAGCTCAGAGCCAGCACCACAGTGAGACTCTGTCTTTTAAATAAATAAGTTGAATTGAGAAAATATTTATCATAGGTCTAACATCAATATTTCACTCTAACAAAGCAGACAGTTAACTTTTTATAAATACCTTAGCAAACACTTTCATAGTATATCCCAAGTACTGTACTCTAGGATCAATAGCTGCGTAAGTAGCTAACATTCTTGTATTATGTTGGGCCTGAAAAACAATTATATATTTGAAAGCATTTCATATTTCTTAATTTTACAAATCAACTAAAAACATATACATGCTAAATAAAATATATATAAATTTAAATTCTAAAATATTTATTAATGAAGGCAATAACAAGTTAACTGACAAAATACTTTTTCCTTATATTGTACTTCTGTATTTGAAATTCTTAAACATGTATGTAACCAATAATCTGTAAACTTTTAAAATGCAAGTATAATGCCAGGCATAGTGGCTCATGCCTGTAATCTTAGAACTTGGGAGGCTGAGGCAGGAGGATCACCGTGAGTTCAAGGTCACCCTGGGCTATATAGTGAATTCAAGACCCTGTCTCAATAAACAAAAAAACAGAAAAGGGGGAAAAAAAAACCCTAGCATAACTATACCTGGCCCATACAGAGAAACTTACCAATGTATTATATAAACTGATATCACCTTCTAAGCCACTTCGCCTGTGTTCAAATTTTACAATAGGCACTTTGGCAGTAGTTATAGGCAAAATGTTTCTTAAACCTGATTTAAAAACAAAAAGCAAGAAAAAGTAGGTTACATAATTTTCATAATGCTAAAAAGTATTTTGTTTTATAGTTAAGATTTAAAAATTTATACCTGGATGTCGCTTAAGAATTTTCGCCAAGTTTTCAATTATTTCCTTACAATTTAACTTCTAAAAAAAAAAAAAAATAGTAAATTAAAATCAGACTCAATATGGTTTGTGTAAATTCTACTTTACCATAGGCATTGCATACTGATAGTGAAAACTTCCAGCCATAATGTGCTATGTAGACTTGTTACTCAAAGTTCATAGACCCATGGCATCAGCACGATTTGGAAACTTAACAAATGCAAAATCTCAGGTCTTTCCTCAGTACTGGATCACAATATGCATTTTTAACAAGACTACAACGCAATTCAAATGTACATTCAAGTAGTATAAGGTGGATTGTAATATGTAAATAAACTAGCGAGGGGTTTGATAAGGACAAAACACTAAATGGTTAAAAACACAAGCTCTAACTTCAGTCAAACTTGGAACAAAAATTTGAACTAAATAGTAAGCAGCGAATATGATTGATTCTTAACCTCTTTCAGCATCACACTAATATTCTATAAAATCAAACTTACCATGAGTTCCCGCTCTACAGAATTACTAGTAGGATTATACAAAACATGTTGATAAAGTATTCAGCAACAACCCTGGCATAAAATGAGTATTTGAAATGGATAAGCTATTTATTATTATGTTGAGAAGGGAAAAAGATAATCCTCCTATTTACCAGGCAACTATTTCCTTAAGGAAATCTTATTGCTACAATTCTTAAAAAAAAAAAAAAAAAAAAACAACAGAAATCAAACTCAGGACCTTGCATTTGCTAGGCAGGTGCTTGTGCCACTGAGCTATAACCCTGGCCCTATCTCTACAATTTCTCTTCACAATTTAAATGTTCATTTTTTAAAAATCAGAAATAGCAGAAATGATGCAACAGTGCTAATCAAAACACAAGGGAAATAAACAAATAAAGGGGGCAGGGAGATGGCTCAGTAGAATAAGCGCTTCCCTGGCAAGCGCAAGGGTCACAGAGGATAAAGATATAGCTTAACATTAGTCTTGACAGTTATCATAACATCATCTTCCCATGCCCCCAGCATGCTCCTTTTAGCTACCAGAAAATAGTAGCCATTGCATATTAACTTGGGAATTTCAAGGAAATCATTAGTTATGAATTTATGCACCATAAAATTAACAAATGGTTTAATTTTTCTCTTACATGTCAGAGATACAATTATAATGAACTTCTAAAGTTTCAATAATGACATATGGAATAAAACATTCATTTTCATTGTTTTAACTTTATATATAAGATTATATATCATATACAAGGCTTTAATAATCAGAAGTATGATTATAAAATTTTACATAGAAGAATAACTCTAGCTTTAACATGGGTAAAAACTATTTTCTAGTCCCTCAATTCTTGCTCTTCAAAATGACAGGTAGTCTCTTTCCAAGTAGATGGTTTTCAGCAGATGTTAAAGACAACAAACAAAATATATGCAACTTTAAAAACTATGTTAACATTAGAATCAATTTCTTACAGTCCAAAATAAATTTACAAGGCATCCTTATTATCTTTAGATCTAAGAATTTAAAAACTACTTTTTGAAAACTACTTCAGAAACACAGTACTCTGTTCTGCTGAAATCTTTTGTAATGTAACCAAGGCTATATTGACACATCTACAGATGCCAGAAGCTGGGTCCCCTCTTACAAGTGGTCCCAAATTTTAAAACATAAATACCAACCAACAGCTATCCTGGTAAAGAACATCTAAGGACCACACTCCTTTTCTACTTGCTCTTATGATGGTCTGAGACACCTCTTCCCTGCTCCATTAGTCTACTGCTTCACTGGAACTGGGATAATCTCATCATCACTAATGAGGCCTGGTACATAAAGAAAGTACCCAATTTTCACTGCTGAGAATGCATTGGGGGAAGGTTGGCTCCTGGCAGAATTCAAGGTAGAATTCAGAAACCTTTCAATTTCAGAAAGTAGTGGTAAAATTCTACAGCACTATTACTACTATATCGCCATGTTATGGGTCTTAAAAAAGTGAGAGTGAAACGTAACAGAAAAAGCAAAACTCTTGAGTCAGACAGCCCTGTGTATAAGTCCCAGCTCCAATTCTTACTAGTTGTATGAACTTGGGACAAGACAGTTCATCACTAAAAACTTCAACATCCTCATCTGTAAAATGGAGGACGGACCTAACACCTACCTCAAAGGTGGGTATAGGAATAAATAATGTATGTATAACTATATACTGGGAACTCAATAAATATTAGTTCAGCCCTCCCATCTCCATGAATTTCTAAAACTTTTATGCTTTTTGTTTGTTTGGATAGTTGCTTTTGAGACAGGGTCTACATAGTTCAAGCTAGCTTTGAACTCACTATGTGGCTCCGACTGGCCTTTAAATCACAGCAATCCTCCTGCCTGAGCCTCTCAAGTGCTGAGATTACAGGGATGTGCTACTACATCTGCCTAAACTCATGCATTTATAACATTGCTTCTATACAAAAAATGTGAGTGCCCCATAATTACAATTTACTTTTATTTTTTTTTTAAATCCAGTTTTGTTTTGTTTTTTTTTTTTACTTTTATTTATTTGTGTGTGTGTGTGGCCAGTTCAGCCCACCAGGGGGCGGGGCTGGCTGGCATGTGGTGCCGGGGGACCGAACTGCAGTCCCTGTGCTTTGCTAAGCTTGTTCTAAGTAGGTGCCCCAGACCACTGAGCCATCTCACCAGCCCCACAATTTACTTTTAGAACACCACCTACTTACAAATTAGATGACTTCTTGCATTTTGTATCTGTAGTAATAAAAGACATCACCAAATAGAAGAGATACAAGAAGAGCTTTTCACTGGTTTAATGAAAACTTCCAAATTAGGGTATTTTTTTCCAAAAAATTCATATAAAATACTTGTGGTTTTGTGCGAGACCACAAGAGAATTGCCTAATTGGCTTTCTCTGTGAGCACTACTGAAAAGTTAATACAGGTGAGATTAGGCTGTTTACCTGGGTGTGTACTAATGGATAATGGAAAGATGAATCTTTTATTACTTTAACTGCTTATACCCATGTTTGAGTGAATAAAAGAAAGATGAACAAACGCTTAGGGCTCTCTGCCTACTAGAGGCAACAATCCTCTGGCTGTCTGCACATTAAACTGACTCTATCTGTCCCATCCTGGTTTGCCCCTGGGTGAGGGTGCTAAACAGGACTAGTAACCTACAAGAGGCACCTGGGTGGGGGAAAGACCAGAGTGAACTGATGCCTCAAGGGCAACACCTAGGACAGGACCCTGGAACTGGCATACAGCTGGTTTGCTACATGACCTGATTTTTGTATTATAAAACCACTGAAACAGGGCCACAGAGATAGCTCAGTGGTCTAGGTGGCTGACTAGGCAAGCATAAGGACCTGGGTTCGATCTCTGATACTGCACACCACACCAGCCCTGCCCCAGACATGCCAAGCTGGCCACTAAGACTGGGCACGGTGGCACATACCTGTAATCCCAGAGCTGGGGTGGCTCAAAACAGAAGGATCACTATGAGTCCAAGCTGCATAGTGAAACCCTGTATCAAATACATTCTAAATTGATACCATTATTGCTTTTACATTTCAAACAGTAATCTTTCTAATGTATTTATACAAAGAATTTTTCATCAGTATTACATAGGAAAAAAATATAGATTCATCATTAGAAAAAATAAACTTCCACATTCCTTCCAAATACTAACTTACCTCTGCATTTTCATGGCCTTCCAGGGTCATACAAATATCCAGATCACTATCACGAAATCCAAATCCATTTTTTGAAGAGCCAAATAAGCACAACCTTGCTTTTTCTAAGCAAAGAAAAAAAGTAAAAGCTTAAAATTAGTAGGGAAAGAGTATCATGATGTCTCTCACATCCTCAAACAAGGTAGTCTTGTCCATTTCTATATCTTAAATAACCTACCCCTGCAAGATATGCTGAGAAATTCCAGAAAATCCACCTGAAGTCCCACATGTTAATTTCAACATGTCTAAACTAAAATATACATTTCACCACAAACCTGCCATTATTCTTGTAATTCATATTCCTCAGCAAATAGTGTCATTGTTTATCCAGTTGCTCATGTCTGAAATATAGGTGAGATTCTTAATAATTCTTTATTAATCTTTACATCCAATCACTGAGACCTTTAACTTCTTCCAACAACTATAAATCCATCTATTTTCATTTATTCTCAATATCACTGCCCATAGTAACAACCAACATTTGAGAATTTAACACTTAAAAATAAACTAGTCCCCTGTAATACCAGTAACTTGGGATGCTGAGACAAGATCACTGCAAGTTCAAGGCCAGCCTCACTACATATTAAATTCAAGCCCATCTTGAACTATATAGTGAGACCCTGTCTCAAAACAAAAAAAAAAATAAATAAATAAATAAATAAAAATAAAGTCCCCCAAAAAGGAAAACTAGTCCTCTCTCATCATAATTCACATAGGTTTAAAACTATCACCTTAGTATACAAGATAAATACGTTTTTCTCTAAAGTTGACTAATCCACCAGATATAATACTCTTGACACTTAGAGGAGTTTTGTTTGGTTTTTTTTTTTTTTTTGAGACAGGGTCTCAGTAGGTAGTTCAGGCTGGTCTTGAACTCATTTTGTAGCCCAGATGGCCTCAAATTCCTGGCAATTATCTTGCCTCAGCCTCCTGATTGCTGGAATTACTGATGAGTGCCACTACACTTGGCTAATATTTATAGAGTTCAATAACTGCTAATACTTAACGCAAATTGTAGCATAATAGGATCAGATTGTTCTGCTTTTTAATTCTTAAGTACACTAAACATTTAGAAACAAAAAAAAATTTTTTTTTCATGTATTTTGTATAGGGTCTCACTACACAGTTCAGACTCATAGTGATCTTGTTTTCAGCCTCCCCAGCGCTGGGATTACAGGCATGCACCACCATGCCCAGACTCTAGAAACCAAAATTATTTGAAGTTCTTCTTCCATCTAGTTCTGATTCCCTACTTAAAATTTCAATGACTGTGATAATCAGCAAACAAAAATGACTGTGAGCTGACAGGACTTAGATATGGCCAATAATTTATACATTAACAAATATTACTTAAGGGGCTGGAGAGATGGCTCAGTGGTCTAAAGCACCTACTTGAAACAAGCTTGGCAAAGCACAGGGACCGCGGTTCGATCCCCAGCACCACATGCCAGCCAGCCCCGCCCCCTGGTGGGCTGAGCTGGCCACACACACACACACAATAAATAAATGTAATAAATAAAAATAAATAAATATTAAAAAAAAAATATTACTTAAAAACAGAATTTTACAAGCAGGGATGATGGCACATGCCTGTAATCCCAGCACTTGGAAGGCTGAAGCAGGACAATACATAGCAAATTCAAGACCAATCTGAACTATATAGTGAGACCCTGTCTCAAAAAAGAATCTTACAGGGCAAGGGAAATAGCTTGGCAGTCTTAAGCACCTGCCTGGCAAGCGCAAGGACTTGGGCTTGATCCCCAGCACCACATGCCATGCTGGCCCCACACCATCCTGGCCCCTGAAACTGAGCGTGGTGGCTCACGCCTATAATCCTAGAGCTGGGGAGGCTGAGACAGGAGGATCACTATGAGTCCACGCTGCGTAGTGAGACCCAGTACCAAATAAATAAATAAATAAATAAATAAATCTTTTTTAAAAAATACCTTATAGCATATGACAGTGTTTACAAGTATAAATGTATTATTAGTTATAAATTAACTATTTTTTCTAACATATGGCAACAAAAAATTTTTGCTTTAGTATTTACTTGCAATATTGGGCAAGTAAATACTAGTTGCCCAAAAAGTTTCAGGGGCCAGGATGGTGTGGGGCCACTGGTATGTGATGACACCTTAAAAGAGACTTATAATAATCTACCACTTCTCCTATCTCTCATACGTTAACAGCACTCATCTTGCTGATGTACTTCTTATTTATTTTCTCCCCTTCTGAAATATATGTTTCATGAAAGCAGGCTCCATGTCTTCTTTTAGTGAGGTATCCTTACAAACTAGAGCAATACCTAATGTATGCTATTCAATAAACATTTCTAAAATAAATGAATGGAATTAAGAGTACATGATTATAAGAATAAATGCAATCAAATTTTAATGTATGACATACCATCATATTCTTTTTGAATAAACTTTTCCAAGCCAATTAAAATTTGCTCCCTGTTGTACTGTTCAGAGAAAGGTGGTGATAATTCATCTAAATTTTTTAAAAGAAAAAGACAATTTTTAAAAATCTTCAAACAAATTTTCAATTTTTTACCCTATAATTTAATTGTAACTTTTCTATTATTTGTTTACATTTATGACTTTCAAAACCATAAATATTACTGAAAATGGGGTAGGACAGCAAAAACATACTTTTAAAGAGCTATATACATTTTCCATAATGATTTTCCCAATGAGACATCTACATTTACTTTTCAAACTATTTTATTCTTTTTTTCAGACACCACTCTCATATCCATAATATTTTTTGCTTTGGCTAACAGAAGTCACACTGTTTAGGCAGCAGATCCATTCAAATTTAACAGATCTTTTAAATGTTCAGTCAAGATTCATTATGTTCCAGATAAAACCATTCTGCTTAACATAACTTGAGAAAGACCTCTTTTTGATTCAATTTCATTTGTTCTCAAACTGCTTACCACCAACTAACATAAGATTTTATACTGTACTTTCAGGTTTATTTATTAGTTATTTCATTTATATTCATTTTACTTCTCCAATAAGACCAGACAGTCCTTACAAAAGTCTTTTTTACATCACTTCCTCTAGACTCACCTGCAAAAGTTACCACGGTAATGGGAATAATACACAACTTACTAAGAATTTGCAAATATAGTATTAAGGTCATTGAAAAGATGAGATACAGCTGACTTTTTTTTAAGGAAGTAAAGCTATTCTATAGAATACTATAATGATGAACACATGACATGCTGTGGTTTAAGTAATTATGCATATGCCATGTGTTAAAGATTTGCTGCTCAAACTCACAGCAATTCTCCTGCTTCAGCTTCTTAAATCTGGCTGCAATACTTAAGCTGTAGGACCCAGTAGGGATCTGCCAGTCAATGAGGCTACACCCTTGAAGGGAACACTGGGATACTACCACTTTCCTGTTCCTTTCTTGCTCATAGCTGTTTTGAGGTAAATGATTTTGCTATGCCACATACTTCCACCATGGTGTGTCACCGACCCAAAGAAACCTCTAAAACTGTGTGTAAAAATAAACCTTTTCTCTTTATACCTGACTTCTCTCAGGTATAATAGAACACTAACTATTGTGTAATACATCTGCTTCTATATAGAACTTTACAAATCAGTCTTAAATGTATGCAAATTCTACAAAATCATGTAGGTCAGAAATCTCTTAAATTATAAACATAGGAAACAATTTCACTCAAGAACCTGGGGGAAAGGTGCTGACTTAAGTAATCGAGTGAAATCTATAAGATTAAGAACAAAGCACTTAATTCTAATACATGAAATTGCTTCTTCTAGCTTAACAGTTCTGATGCTGCTATATAAGTGTACTAAAATTTGATCAATCATCTTCTGGATCTGTGTTCACATTTGAATCTGAAAAAAAATGCAAGATGACCATTGGGCTGTAATTGCTAAAATGGACAGGAAGAAAAAAAAGTAAAGGAAGCAGAAAAGTTACTTAACTTAAGAAAATTGTGCAATAATGGAACCTAATAACATCAAATTAACAGTTTTGGGGGAGGTTTACAAAAAGCTAAAGACTTTAGATTAAGGCTTTAAAATTTATATAAATTATTTATGTTATGGTATTTTGACCTGAAAGTGAACTAGCTATATATTATCTGGAAATGTGTTGCTATATTCAGATAACTATATGATTATATTTTGTTACTTTTTCCTATATTCACTATTAAGTTTTCAGATTTCTTAGTTTTGAATATGACAAATGCATTATTGAGATTCTTTATTCTTTACTATTAAAATATTTTGGATGCAAATTAAAAAAATAAAATAGGGCCAGAGAAATAGCTCAGTAGAGTAAGCGCCTGCCTGGCAAGTACAGGGTCCTGAGTTCAATCCCTGGTACTGCAATAAATAAATAAATAAATAAATAAATAAAATTGATCAATCCAATAAACAGTTGATAGATGGTAAAATTATGTTTCTCTTTGTTGGAGTTTTTAGATTAAAAAGGGGGGGGCTAGAATGAGCCTCATAATATAGTAATGGATCAAGGCCAAAGCTAGCATAATTCAAGTAGCAAGATGCAGATTATATCCTAAAGTATAAAATACATGATTCCACAATGAGACAAATGACTGAACAAATAAAAATAAATGAATTGCAGCTTAATAAAGCTAATCTTTCTACTCGAAAGTACTTACCCAAGAAAATAGACACATATGTGCATCCCCAAACTCATACATAAATATACATGACAAATTTTTAATAACAAAATTTAGAAACAAGCCATACATTCATCAATAATTCACTATAAAAAGAAATTAAACACTGATATACTTAACATGGATAATTTTATAAAAGGATCAATCTCAAAATAACTATGCTGGGGCTGGTGAGATGGCTCAGTGGTCTAAAGCACCTACTTGGAACAAGCTTAGCAAAGCACAGGGACCACGGTTCAATCCTCCAGCACCACATGCCAGCCAGCCCCGCCCCCTGGTGGGCTGAGCTGGCCACACACAC